ATGTCGCAGTATTTCAGAAGCATTTTTTCTGTGCTTTAAGGTTTATTCACACATGCCAGTCACGTAAATTTTTTTTTGCTGTCATACTGTATAGAATTTCAATCAGAACTTTCTTGGCGGTCAAAGTTAAACTTTTAACGCCGCGAAATTAATTTGACATTTAGTATACCTTTAAGCTTCATTCGGAACCTCGCAATTAGTGGTTTCAATTAGTGTAGAAGTTTGTTCTTTTAATTTCAATGTAAGCATTCAGAACGTTAAAATTAGTGGTAGGAATTAAAATTAGTGGTAGGAACACAAACAAATTTGTAACTTTTCCACTAATCATACTTCAGAATTTGCCAGGAATGTCATTTTGGCCTTTGATTATCATCTGTCAAGAGAAAATGTTAGGGATGTTAGGTTAGAAATCAAAATTTTATTGTTTTATAAGCTAAATATTTGGCTTTCTCTCCATACTTTCTCTATAGATAGGTACACCCATAGGTACACCCAGGGGGGTGACAGTGAAATAGGAAAATTGGAAACAGTCATTAGTGTCATTTCTGTCATTCTCCTCACGACAAGTATGGCCGCCTAGACAATGACAGCATTGTTTTTGTCTAACTATTGTCTAACTTCACAGTTTAGAATTGACAGATTTCAGTTTCAGAGACAACTTCAGATTTGTTCTAGAACAAATTCGAAAATATTCGACGCCATTTTAATTCATTCCGTTTAATTTCGTTTTGGAAGTTCAATTTAATATTTCGGCTGAAATTTATAAATATAAAGGTAATAAAGTATATAAAATATATATTACATAAAGAATCCTGGAGAAAATGACGTTTATGCAGTAGTAGGTATGTCCCATGTATATGAAAAATAGGTAGTAAATAAACACTGTTTTTACATTTTTTAGATGCAAGAAAATGGTGTTATAATCTCTTTGATCGGCGATTTTTTTGAAAATGGAAACAATTTACAGCAAGGTAAGATCATTTTTAACTATAGCCAACATTAGTTATCTCCAGTATGTGCGATTTATTGTCAATAATGCAATAAATCGGACTGATAATCTGATTATGTTATCCGACTAAAAATCTCTTTTTGCTTCTTTTGATTTATAAGCTAGGCCTCTTTGGGAATAATGGACGCTTTTTTTAAACAGTATTATTTATATTTTATACCTATTGATATTTTTACATTGTTAATTTTAGTATAAAAAAATTGTTTTTCTGTTTTCAGGTTTTTGTATAAGGCTCCCGTTTTCATATTCCTGTGTCCGTTTTCTGTCCTTGAAGTTTGCGAATGCTTGTGTTTATTTACAAATTACTGTAAGTCATGCTTATACCTTAACTAATTTACGTTAAAAGTACATATAATTAACTAATTGGTATTGAAACAATACAATCCTCTATATTTTTATATTTATTTAGTCACGTTGTTCCATATTTCAAATAAATATATGTGAATAAATAATTTTTTGGTTTTATTTATGAAAAGAAAAAATACAAAATACATTTGAACTGAAAGAGGACCCGCCATTGAATAACCGGAAACGGAAATGAGAATTAAGCCATCATGTCCTTATCATGTCAACCTGTCAATTGGAAAATTAGTTCTCCAGACGACAACGAAGGCTTTCGGTGGCGTATCGTGTTTCCACGATTTAACACAGAGTTGACACTTCTTTCTAGTTAATTATTTTATGGCTACACCTGACTACCGCAAGCTGTTGCTAGGATAATCTATTAATTTAAATTGTGTTTTTTAGAGATTGTGAATGATCGTAAACTAAAAAGTATAAAATTTAATTGAAACCACTAATTTATTTCACTATAATGATAGTTTTTTCAAACGCAAAGCCTCAAAATGTAATTAACAATATCTACAAAATATTTTTGTATAATATAAATCTATTTCAGGAAAGAAAATAAGTGTCTCAAAATGAATTAAGGTATTTTTATCTTTATCCAAGTTGAAATTAAACAAGCCTTTAGGGTGTTCGTTAAGAAATTGTTTAGACAACAGAATTTTGTTTTTAAAATAACAAACAATACAATTTCCTTTCATTAATCTTGTTAGTTAGTTTATCGAACAGCTATAATTAAATGAATAATAAAATGTCACAACACATTTTAGAAGTTAAATTTGTGTCCCAGTTTGTCCACATAGAATAGTATCATAGTTACGTCATTAATATCACCCTTTGAATAAGAAGACTAAGGAAGGAGCATAATGCTATCCATGTATTCATGCATGGTGGGCGGAAAAGGCACCATAAAAGCTCTCTAGGGTGGGGATCCTTGACAGTTCTGTTTGACGATTCATTTGACACATTTGAATTTGATTTGAAATTTTGTGGATTTGTCAGTCTTTACGGAGCTGATTTTATGTTATTTATTATGTATTCTACTACTGATAGTTGTATAAAGGTAGTAAATCTAGATGGAAATTGTGGCAGAACTTAAATTGACAGTGACACTATCGCGATTTATCGAAAAAGACTCTAAAATAGTTGGTTGTGTAGCGTGCGGTAGATCTCGGCAAAAATTGAGTAAAATAATGGAACAACTTTTCGCTAATAAGTGACTATATAATATACATACGTGTAGTAAACCGATCATTTATGAAATTCACTTAAATTAACTAAATTATATATTTTTTCTTGCATTTTAGCTTTTATTTATTACTTGTCAAAGATTAGATGTCAAAGAATTTAGATACGTTAATTTGACTTACCTGCTTCAGTAGCGTATCGGATGTTTGTGTTAATAAATACTTATTATAACTTATCTATTTTTATTAGAATTATATATTTTTATAACAATTTTAATAACTACCAACATTTATTCACAACGTAAAATAAAACAACAAATTATTGAGTCTACCCCACGTCTACCCTACATCATAGTTTTACATTTTTTAAATAAAATTAGAACGACACTGATAAACCGGAATTTAAGTCGGCCATATTTGAGGCCCATCGCGGTGTACCTAAGATTTTTGATAGGCTCCTTCCTTAGTCTTCTTATTCAAAGATATCACCCTATATATTCGAAGAGTGTTATTGAAATGGATACTGCAGGATTTAATTTCTTAATAGAAAAAACGGATCCACTATAAGATGACCCTGATGTTGTCTGTCACTAGTGTTTATCTTGAAGATTATATAGCGAATTACTGTGTACACCAATTTATAAGATTAGGTACTGCTTTCAAAATCTGATTCTATTAACTTGGAATATGATACGATGTTATCTGTGGTGTGATGTAAAATTATATTAAATAACTATGCCATAGAATCGAAAAAAAAACGGCGTCAAAGACGGCTGGGGAATAAAGATCGATGATAATTTTGGCGAAGTCAAGCCCTAGATGTCATTTACTTGGTCCGTACTCTCTTCTTTATTTTTTAATAGCGCTTACTGCCATTAGTTGTCCTAAAGAAGGTTGTAATTTATTTTTATATTGAGTAAAAATGATTTTTAAATGGTGTAGATTAAAATTGGAGAAAAAAATATTTTTTGGGAATAGATTTGTGTCTGAAACGTTCTATCATTTTTTATTGTTTCTATAATTCGTGTAAATTTTTTACAAGTTTTATGTCTATTATTTGAAAAGTTTTATGCCAAAATTATTATCGTTTGTCATTTCCCAGCCGTCTTTGGCGTCGTTTTTTTTTAGATCATACAGTATTTCGCACTGTATTTATAACTCTTGATTTAAACTTTATTTTTCATTTGATATCTCTATCTTCTAAAATCTCTATCTATCTCTATCTCTCTATCTAAAATATCATATCTAATATGAAAAATAATGAAACTTAAAAAAAACGTGCTATTTTTGAACTAGACTTATTCGGTATACCGGATACCGGAATTTCTGAAATATTTCGGTATAAACCGGTATTTTCTCTTACAAAACCGAGATATCCGTATTATTGGCTTCAAGAGGTTCAGGAAAACCGGTTCAAAGCGGTATAAAATTTCAAAATATTAGTTTCAAATGCCTCTGGTATCACGAATTGTGCATAATTTTGTTATTCTCCTACTCCAAATATCATACCATTGTTTTATTGTGTTGATATAAAATTTTCTTCTTAAAATATTTTTTTTATGCGTGAGGGTTAATTTTTAAAAGAATCACCTTGTATATTATATCACTTTTGGTCTTTTGGCAACCCAGGTACTGCTGAGCACCCCCCAGAGAAATCTCGCGTTTTTACTGAATTACATATTAATTTTTATTTGCTTGCGATGTAGTAAAAATGACTTTTTCTAGTTTTGTTTAGTTAATATTATTTTATTATTTTCAACAAATGTGTGTTAGTTTTTATTTTTTTTACAAAATTTTTAGGTATTTAAGTAATCCACGAGAACGCGAGTTGATAACCAAGTCTATCAAATTTATTGATAGAGAAATTCATGTAAACGTTTTATTCAAAAAATGTTTTTATTTTTTAATACTATGATTCGTAATTTAAAAAACAAATAGGCCCACCCCCCAGGATGAATTGCTAGTTACGCTAATGATTCTACGTTATTTTAAAACTTTTTTTTAGATGCAGAATTAAAAAAAAAAATATTTGTTTTTTGATTATTTAAAGTGTTTCAAAAGTTTCTAACCGTTTCGCTGACTCTTTTACGCGAAGATTATTTTTTTTTCCATAGCAACTGTTAAAATTACCTTATATCTATCAAAAGTAGTAAATAAAATAGTACTTTTACCGCAAGGGTAAATTAAATGATACTTTAACAGCGAGGATAGGTTAAAAACTTTATTTCTTCTCGCACGTCTTTTAATTGCTTCCATTTTTGAAAAATTTTGTATTCCTTTTCATAAGTTATTCGGGATTTAAATGCAAGTAATTTGGATATGGCGTTTGTCGCCTCATAAAATTGCATTATCGTCTCCCGAATTAAATTCACTCGCGATTTCATCGCTCATGAATTAATCTTTTCGGTGGACAATAAAATACCATTTTATTGTATAAAAAATAACTATAAAAAACTTACCGGTCCTTTAAACACGTGCCCCGTTTCTACGGCCAAAAGTTCGGCAACAAGTGGCCCACCATCAATTCTCACCACATATTCTTTACCCGAACAATAACTAAAAACGATATAAACAAAACAAACAAATTTATAAACACGGAGCTCAAGCATTTGTTTAATATTATTAATTTGACTTTATAATTATACTTTTTCTTTTAGAAATTCCGACTGTTTCAGTTTACTTTTAATGGTAACCGCGCTAAAACCTATCGAAAACAATTGTGGAGAGAATGGAGAATGTTTGGAAATGAATCGCGACGCTGCTTTTCCATTTCTAATGGATAACTGTAACTTTATTGGACGCTGAAAGTTGCGATGCATGCTAATAGCTTTTGATAAAGATGCGGGCGCTCATTGGCCAGTTCAAAGTGAATAAAAATCGAAATATTTTAACTTCCAACGCATAGTACAGAGGGTGTCCTATTTTTGCGTATTTTAACAATTATTTTTCAAGCTCCAGAAGAGAGCTGTTCGATATTCACTGGGACTAAACAGCATAACTCATTGCCAGGGCTTTTTAAAAAAAAATTAAAAATATTAACTCTTCCTAATTTAATTTCGCAGCACTTTCTGCAGATAAAAATAAGTAAAAAAGGTCGTATAAATGTATGTCCTAAAATGCTTAGATTTGGAGATATCTACAGGGTGAAGAAGTTTCATTTTTATTTCGATTTTTTCCAAAAATTTATTAAGTAACGTCAATATTTGGATGAAAAGACCCCATATTTTCCTATACAAAAACTATAATTTATGTGAAAATTTTATTTTGTTTAGACGGAAACAACTTGAACCCTATTTTATAATTATTGTAATTATAAATAACATCATATATACAGGGTGTCCCAGAAATAAGTACAGATATTTTAACTAGTAGTACATTACAGTTGAGGGTTGGAACCTTTGGTGTTACACAGCACGTTTAGGACGCGCGTTTCGCTAGCCATGTTAGCATCATCAGCAGATGATTATAAACTAAAGTACAATCTACAAGTTGAGCGTTTATATACTCGCTCAGTGGGCACCGAGTGAGCGTGGAAAAATCTAGCCAACCGAGTCAGAGCCCATTGAGCGTAACAGTTAAATTTCCGCCACTAGAGTAGTAGGAACAAAGAACTTGAAAGAATTGGACCGTTGCCTCTGTTCATACTATCTTTACATTTATTAATTCTGATGCTTTCATATGCATCTAATTGCCTGTAATCTGAGACTTGTTTAATTAATTTTAAATTATTAAGATCTATACAATGTTCTTTATCAACAATATGTTCGGCAACACAAGATTTATCCGGTCTACCATATCTTATCTGAGCTAAATGTTCTTTAATAGTTCTTCTTTGATAGTAGTACATTTTGAACCCAGAAAAAAGCTAATGAGGTTTTTACGCAAACATTTTTTTTGTAAAATTAATATTGTAATTAATGTATTGTAATTATAAATAACATAATATATACAGGGTGTCCCAGAAATAAGGACAGATACTTTAACTAGTAGTACATTTTGACCCCAGAAAAAAGCTTATGTGGTTTTTCGCGAAATTTTTTTTTGAAAATTTGGCATTTTTGAAAACAAAATTTAGAATTTTTTTAGTTAAAAAAACATTATTTCTTGATAATATGGCAATACCGGGTGCGTCTCGAAAGTGGCTCACCCCTATAACTTTTTTATTTCTTCAGATAAAAAAACGAGATTTGGTATGTTAGGATATATGACATAAATTAGGATTGATTGACGGTATTCAATTGTTTTTGGTCACTTCCTGCTTCACCGGAAATGACTACAACTTTTGATTTTTAAATGGCACCCTCGGTATTTTTTTATTTTATTCGATAGAAAATGACTTTTGACATTCTCGCTTTAAACAAAATTAAATTTTAAAATTCAATCTAGAGTGCCATGGTTATGTTAAAAATACTAATTCTTAATCAAGGAACCTTGGAAAAATAGATTTGATTGTCTAATGCTTTTAGTGTCTTGTCCTAGAGGTGGAAATTCTAGTTCCTTGGGAGGAACTAGTTCCTTAGTTCTAGTTCCTCCAGAGTAATAGTTCCTTGAACTAGGTCTTTAGTTCACAATAGTTCCCGACTAACATTGACATCCCCCTTGCTTGCTAATGCGTTTCATTGTCAGTCAGAACTATTCACAGTATGATCTGTATAATTTTTTTAGTGTACGGAGATATAACGAGATGTAATTGTGTATGTTAAAAACATATAAGTAAGTTTTATTGCAGATAAAAAAATAAAAAAAACTCAAATCAGAATTTAAAAAACTATATCATAAATCAATTGGAGCAAATATTACAAAAAATTTACGAAAAATTGCATTTTTCCTCAATTCAAGCTTTTTGTTTTTGTCTAAAAATTCAGAATATCTACTTCGTTTTATAAGATATTTCTTAATTTTAGGGACCTAAATTGAAACATTCCCATAAAATATTTAAAAAAACAGTATCCACGACAATTATCTGTGGTAATTACGCCGCACCGGCTGTGGCAATAGACAAGGACGAATCCATCGTCGCACGCCTTGTATCATATCTCGGATCTGCCGACTGAATATGATTCCCGTGAACTAGTCTTTTAATAGTTCCTCTATGTCCGGATCCAATAACATACGGCTGGACTCCCCACGCCTGCCTAGCATCAATCGCGCTGGCTGATCCATACGTAAACTAGTCTTTTATTTAGTTCCTCTAGTTCCTTTAGGTCCGGATCCGATAACATACGGCATACGGCTGGCACTCCCCACTCCTGCCTACCATTGGGCTACGCGCGCTAGCCGATCCGTCGCCGTCGCATATTATTCTATATCGGTCACAGTCTCGATCCCGGAATAGGTCCTGAGGAACTAGTTCTTTGAGAAACCAGGAACTAGTTCTTTGAGAAACCAGGAACTAGTTCCTTTCATTCCGGGGTCGGAATAGTTCATTGGAACTAGTTCGTTCACGAACTACACACCTCTATCTTGTCCTGGCCAGTTAGAAAATGGTCAAATCGTATTTTTAATCATATTTCAATTTTTTCAAATGGAACGAGAGTGGCTCATTAGCATATTTGGAAAAGCATTTTTTTACGAATAATTTGGTACCACACACTTGGTATTTCGAGTCAAATTTTCGTTATAAACCACAAGTTATAATATCAAATAAACCATATGCGAAAATGTCAAAAATTGACATATGTTATGTCATTCTATTCAGAGTATTATTTTCTATCGAATAAAGTAAAAAAATACCGAGGGTGCCATTTAAAAATCAAAAGTTGTAGTCATTTACGGTGAAACAGGAAGTGAGAGAAAACAATTGAATACATCAATCAATCCTAATTTATGTCATATACTAACATACCAAATATCGTTTTTTTAACTGTAAAAATAAAAAAGTTATAGGGGTGAGCCACTTTTGAGACGCACCCGGTATAGGTAGTAGATTAAATTTACAAGAAAGAAAACCCAGAAAAAATCCAGTCCAAAGACATATTTGTACTTATTTCTGGGACACCCTGTATATTAAAAAGTTTAATAACGCATTTTTTTACCTTAATTGTGTTAATAAGTATAGAATAGGAACAAGGCAAATAAAATAGAAAAAATAATGTGCAGACAGGATGTTCCATTTAAAAGTCACAAAAAAAATAAAAACTACATTAAATCCTTAGGTGTATATTTTCAGTTACTGTACATATAAGTGTTTTTCTCAATTCAGAATAATGACAATAAATATTTTAAATAAAAGTAAACATACATAACATTTAGTCACTTATCAATATTCACAACATTGCTAAGATTTCATCGTAACAGCTGTAATAAAAATTAGTTTATACAAAATTATTTGGCTTTTCCCTGGGCAGCCACAGCTTCCACAGCCTTCTTCACCGTCTCCGGGTCTCCCAAAAATTCCAAACTCTTAATTGGATGCAGATTCTCATCCAAAGTGTATACAAATGGAATGCCAGTGGGTAGATTCAGTTTCATGATCTGCTCATCAGATAACTCTAAAAAATTTATATTAAATGTATGTATTCTGAAATATGCAGGGTTCTGAAACAGGCATCTGTAGCTTCTGTAATAAAAAAAACTTAGGAATTTTGTTTAAGTGTTAACCTAAAATATGTACTAAGATGTATTTTTCAATATTTTAACTCAAAAAAGTCTAATAAAAATTAAAATATTTATAGTAAAGTAAATACAGACCAATTATAGTAAATACCTAGTATAGATTTGACTTCAGGACATTTCTTGTATTTTTAATAATTTTTTTTTTAAAAGACTATTTATTTATATCTTTGAACTATCAAATCAAAACACATTTAATAATATCTTAGAATTATGTAAAGTGATCAGAAAGGAAACCAAAAAGGCAATAATATACTGGGTGTTCCATTAAAAAAAATCATCATGATCCACTTACACTTTTTTGAGCCACCCTGTAGAAGTTATTTTCCTGAAATAAGTCCTAGTGCATACTTTAGGTATACACTTAAACAACATTTCTAAGTTCTTTTTTATAAGACCTACAGATAATGTATTTAAACAAACATATACATAAACACAGAACTTACGATCTAAATGTTTTACAATTCCTCGTAAACTGTTTCCATGAGCGGCAATAAGAATACTCTTCCCACTTTTTATTTGAGGTACAATAGTTTCGTTCCAGAATGGTAAAGTACGCTCAATAGTTAACTTGAGACTTTCAAATTTGGGGAACTGATCCTGTGGTGGTCCCTCAGCGTACCTGGGATCTTTAACGATAATATCGTAGTAAGGATGATCAGGTTCCATTGGTGGTGGAGGAATATCGAAGCTTCTACGCCAAATAGCAACCTGCTCTTCTCCGTATTTTGCGGCAGTCTCGGCCTTATTCAACCCCGTCAAGCCTCCGTAGTGACGTTCATTTAAACGCCAAGTTTTGACAACAGGAAGATCAGTTTGACCGATTTCGTTCAATACTGCTTGAAGAGTATTTTGTGCTCGGGTCAAAACGGAGGTGTAAGCGACATCGAACTTATATCCGCTGTCTTTTAAGGCCTTTCCCGCACTTTCAGCTTCTTTTTTTCCTATAAATTAATAGAATTTTCGTTATTAAACCTTCGAATATTTTGCAGAGGTCAAACTAAGGTCGCAGATAGTAACGTACCTTTTTCACTTAAATTGGCGTCAAACCAGCCGCAAAAGAGATTCTTTTCGTTCCACTCGGATTCTCCATGACGGACCATAACGATTTTGAACGGTGCCATGGTAAATATGTTTTTATTTTTAAAAATACAACCCGTTCTCTCTAAATCACCGACACTTGAAGTTGATCCTAACCACAGATAAACTTAAATGTCACACAGGGCTGCCACCTCCTCGGAACTAAAATTCCGTGTTTATTCTCTGAAATATCCGTAGAAATCCGTAGATCTAGGCCAACTTAGGGTGCATCCACACCACAGATCCACACTATCCTAGAAACGGCCTATCGGCGTAACGACCTTGAATCGATTTTCAGTGATTCTATTGGCTGAAATAGATAATTTTCGGTTGTAATTTATATTGAGTAAAAATGATTTTTAAATGGTGTAATTTAAGATCATGAAAAAATTTAAAAATTAGTGTTAATTTTTGATAAGTTTTATGTCAATTTTTAGTACCTAAATGTACGTCTAGAAATTGCCAAAATTATTACTTTGAATTATTATTGATTGTTATTCCCCAGTCGTCTTCGGCGCCGTTTTTTTCGAACATACAGTATAATATTTTCGCTTTTTCAATAAGGTATATTTTTCGTTACATATTCAAAAGTATTTAAAATTGTTTAATATCAATACCATTAAATCATTTTTCAATATATAATCGACACAGACGATTCCCTTATCATAATCAGGATATAACTATACTGTAAATAGAGCATATTAATTAATAATTGTTTTAATTGGATTTTTTTTTGTTTATTCAATAATAATAATATTTATATAAGTTTAACGAGTGTTTTATTGCTTTCATCAATTATTACATCGATTAAACACACAGAATTGAATTTTTCCCTGCCCCAAATGTCATGTTTAAATAAACAGAAATCGCAATAAAACTAAATCTTTTATTTTTGCTCTAATGTTAAGTTCAATGAAGCCATCTAGATTTACGTCCTTTTCAGTTCGTCTTACGTGACACTTTTAGGGCTTCGTTCTATTTTCTATTTCTTATTCTCCTACGCGCTGAAGAAATGTTATTTGTAGGCTTTGCGACCTACTGTATACAGGGTGTACCAGTTTCGTGTGTTTTACAGGGTTTCTCTTTTATGAGTAGAGATACAAAGTGCAATTTTTACATTATAGTTTCCTACTTTTTTATAAAACTAAAGATGCTACACACAAATTTGTCCTATCCTTCTTAGTTTCTAAAATACAGGGCAAATTTTAAAATGTTGCATTTTTTGACCTCCTTTGTATTTTGGCTGTCTTCTATAACTTATCAAAGAGGTATGAAAACTCACCAAAAAAACTCAAAGTTCTTCATGCAAAATCCATTGGCGTAACAAGTTTTCCCCCTGAGCTGTCATTTTCGAAATATGACTCAAAGTTACGTTTTTTTAAATGGGATTTAACTATAACTTTTTTATTTTTTTTTCTGTATTTGATAGAAAATGACACTCATCTGAACAGAGTGACATACCATATGTCAACTTTTGACCTTTTCGCTTAAAAATTAATTAATGCTTAAAAATTAATATTTAAAATTAATGTTTTTCGAGTGTCTTGTCCTGGTCGGTTAAAAGATACCGAAATCCTTATTTTAGACATATCTGAATTTCTTCAAATTGAACAATATCATTAGCATATGATAAAAAGATAAAAAATTTAGAGTCAAATTGTTGTTATGAACCGCATGTTACAATTTCAAAAAAAAACATATGCAAAAATGTCAAAAGTTGACATATGATATGTCATTCTATTCGGAGTGTCATTTTCTATCGAATAAAGTAAAAAAATACCGCAAGTGTCATTTAAAAATCAAAATTTGTAGTCATTTCCGGTGAAACAGGAAGTGGCCGAAAACAATTGAATACGTCAATAAATCCTAATTTATGTCAAATACTAACATACCAAATCTGTTTTTTTTATCTGAAAAAAAATAAAAAAGTTGTAGATTATAGGGTTGAGCCACTTTTGAGAGGCACCCGGATTTTGAGAGGCACCCGGTATGTTATAATTTTTTTACCATTACTAACTATAGAAGCTATAGTCTGTCCATCGAGAGGATCCGTGACAGTGACAGTTGCCTCTGTCGTTTTTATTCACAGGTACATTGTATTTTGTGTCACTAGTTGGATAAACTATAGCGTGGAATAATAAACAACAATCAAAATTTGACGTCGAATAAATTATTAGATTGTCAAAATGATAGTTTCGTAATTTAAAAAAAAATCAAATTTATCATTAAGTATATACTTTTTTGGGGATACCCTGTATACAACAACATATTTTTCCAGAGAATAGGTACATTAAAGAAATGCTAACTTCATGTTAAAAAATGGAAACAGACGCCACCTGGTGTCGCCTGGCAGTACTAGCTAAATTGAGGGGAATTGGAGGGGCGGGGCTTAAAAGAGGGGAAATTTAAAAAAAATATTTTTATAAGTATCACTGACTTACTGTTTAAAGTTAATAAACATATTTTTTATTACTTTAATATAATTTAATGTATTAAAAAATATGTCTATTAACTTTACACAGCAAATCAATGATATTATTAAAGACTTATTATTTTCAGAGAAAATTCCTAGTAAATAAATTACACATTAGTAAACAATATCATTTATTTTTAGAGCTGCGATTTATATTACAATAATATTGAAATATATATATATTTTTTAACAATGAAAAGAATATCCTGGAACCTGAAAAAGAAAGATGAAAAATTAATGACTTAAATTAGTTCAAAATACATTTTGCAAATAACTAGTGAATTGGAAAGATAAACATACTATTAAAAAGACATTTTAGTAGTATGTTATCATCTATTTACTGATAATACATTACATAAGTATATAATAGGTAAATAACATGCATAAGGCACTATGATACAACTACCTGTATCATGATAACACACTAATATGACAAAAAATATATGCTAATTTAAATTCCTTTAATGATCTAATGAAACACTATCTAGCCTCAATGCATGCCATTCCAAAGGCAAAAAAAAACTGTTATTCCAAATAAATATAAGCTGAATAAAACATAAACCAAGCCAATGTGCATACACAACCAAAAAATGCATCAAAAAATACTTTTATCAGATCATACCCTTGGATATACCTATTATGTATTTTATATATCGCACATCCCGTTCAAAATTTTACTAACTCAAAATAGAGAATATAGAGAACATTGTCAGGAGAAGTAAAAGAAAATTTAAGTTAAGGCAATATGCTCCTTTTTGCATATTAACGGCCAAATAATATAATGTTGATTTAATAAAATTTTACTGGCATCCTTCTGAGGTATAAATCAGATTAAAAAGGACATTTTTTTTAATAATTGTTTGTTTTGTAAACATTTTTTGAAGACAATACAGTTTTGAACGGGCTGTGCGATATAAACAAGGATCTTACTATTATTTGAGGTTAGAAAGTATTTAAATAATATAAAACATAATCAAAATCATTTTTCATCATAAATTATAGAGGTACTTACGTGTTTTGATATTATTATCAGGAAATAATACGTTTAGTTAAACAGGTACGCTAATTCTAAAAATACAAAAATACGTTTACATCTTAGTTGTATTTACGAATAAAGTATTTGTGTGTAATTTCTGACTTACCAGTTAACTGAATAATCCCATTAAATACATCCAAATGGTAATTTAATATTGTAAAAAAGCAAAATTGTTTTAAATCACTTGCCAGGACAGCCCGGCCAGCTTCTTTGTTGACAAAATGGCCGCGGTATCATGATTTAAGCAATGTGAGTGACAAAGAAAGCCAATGCCTGGCAGATGTTGCTTTCTTTGTCGTTGGTCCTGGCACGTTTAAATTTGACTGTTGCCTGTTTTCCCATACAAGTGACACCCCCGTTTTTCGGATAGGGAATTTCATATCTTCCTCAACAACGACAATATTAGACCTTGCACTAATGGACCATCCTGTATATTTTCTCAATACCTACACCTCTCTTTCATACTCTAATCCTTAATCTCCTCGATTTTACTCACTTTTTAATCACTAGTTAGTATATAGTTAACATTAAAATTACTTGCATCGAATTATGTCAAATAGCAAAAGTCACTGGTTAATATCCTTCCAACCAATTGGTATTCTGGAAGATTTCCTGGTCTACTTAATTAGAATTTATTGTTACTCTCACGCCAGGGCAATTGTCAATCGAGCGTTCGCTTGAGATTAAAGTATTACGCGGGATGTTTTCGAATCGACAGGGGCACAAGGCAACAAAAGGCAACAAAACCAGTTAATGGGCATCATGTTACAGGGTGTGAAAAAAAAGAAATAATAAAAGAAATAATAAGTAAGCCAGAAGAAATGTTAAAATATTAAAGTTAATGACATGCTAATATTTAAGGCGCTGCTTCTTGGACCTATTCTAAAAAAAGTTCATAAGAACGTATATCCTAAATATACAGAGTCGCTTTTATGTATGGAAAAGGTCGATTATTAGGTAAAATATAGGAGATACCGCTAAAAGTTAAATACAAAAGTTATAGGTCATAAAGGTGTGACACATCAAAGTTTTATTTTTTTAAATAGAACCCCCAGTATACTATTACTAATGTCAAATATTATTAGGTATCACAGTTTCGGCAGAATGGCATCGTTAAATTAAACTGAACATATCGAAATTAATTAAATTAAATTGTTTAAGTGATATTTTCAAAAGTCAATAACTCGGAAACGGTTGGTTTGAGGTACATTGTGTGTATTTCGATTTTTGCCTAGAATTAAAGGAAGAACCGAAATATGCAATAATACACAGGGGTTCCATTTAAAAAAATGAAACTTTGATGTGCCACGACTTTACGACCGACCTTGTATACTTAAATTTATTACCCGCTAATAGATATTTATAAACCCTATAACTTTTGTATTTAACTTTTTGCGGTACCTCCTATATTTTACCTAATAATCAACCGTATCCATACATAACAGCGACCCTGTATTAACTTTACAGATACAGGGTGATGGTAAAATTTTCTATAAAACATTCATAAATATCTTTGATGTTATTATAGATGTCCTGATGAATCTTGGTAAACGTCTTCTATGCATCAAAATGCATTTTTTAGGTATTTTACATACATTTTTACTTATTTAAACTAAGAATATGTTTGGAGAAAAAAGTGGTAGGTACGCCACTGACTTCTCGTAAAATAAACGTTATTTTCAAAATTTTTATTCATTTCTAAACGATTTTAATCTTGTGATTTTTTTTTCGTCCGGATGGTTTTTGCTTAAAAAAATAGTAATCTAAAAGAATACTATAATAATAAAGAAAAATTATTATCGATATAGTTTTATTTTATTTATACTGAATTATTTGTTCTTTAGGCTTTGCTTAATACATATAACGATGAATCTATGAAAAAAAAGCGTTAAACAACTTCTAAAATTGGTAAGGTTCATATTTTATGCAACTACGCAAGTATACAGTGAAGAAATATCAATAAAATCTTACATTTACTTACTAAAAAGCGTCCCGTCTATTTAAATTTTTCCTTTGGCGCGTTAAATTGATTACAGCGCCATTCTTATTTAGCGAGAATTTTTAGAACTATCGTCTATACGATTGTGGCGCCACCATACAGAAAATATTAAAAGTAAGCAAATATAGGTTTCTGCTTTTACTGTGTATGTGTAGCGCCATCATGGGTTGAATATTTAAGGTAATCATTTATAGATTTCTATTAAAAAAAAACAACTAATGTCATCTAACGTTAAATAGTTGAACTTTAGTGAAAATTTTTTTACATTTTAAAGAAATCTATAATTTTTAGGTCTCAAGAAGTGTTGAGTGAGAGCCATCTACGGATAAAATTTTATACTAATTTAACAATATTCTACATCCTTGTCAAAAAAGCAAAAATCAAAAATATTTCGTTTAAAATCATTTTAGCAATAGTTCTTTTGACCTAGCTCATTTACCTTACTTTATTTAAGTACATTGAATTTTTTTCTGTATCGTTAATACTTTGCACTAAACATAACATTATATTAAAATAATACTTACTTATAATCTACATTCGTAGTTCCAAAATAATAACAATGGTTAAAAGTGTCCTATTCGTATGTCTGGGCAACATTTGCCGTTCACCCATTGCCGACGCCGTTTTCCAGCATATAATCAAAACTAGAGACGTAGAGGCTCAATGGAAAGTTGATAGTGCAGCTCTTATCGGATACCACACTGGTAAAAGCCCAGATACCAGAGCCAGAGAAACATTAAAGAAACATAACGTATTGTACAACGGTAAAGCAAGGGAAATCACCAAAAATGACTTTCTAACTTTCGATTATATTTTCGGAATGGACGAATCGAACATCAGAGAATTAACTAACAGCAAACCGTCAAGTAGCTCTGCACAAATTTTCTTATTGGGAGATTTCGACCCTGAAGGTGATAGAATCATTAGAGACCCTTATTATGATAGTGGATCGGAGGGGTTTGAGAAATGCTATCAGCAGTGTGTCAGGTCTTGTAATGGATTTTTAGATAAACTAGATAAAGATGGAAATTTAAAAGCATAATTTTTTCTACATACTTTCACCATACAAATGTGATGATATATTTTCTGTATTTGTATAAAAATTTGGGTTTAATAGATATATGAGTAATTTTGAAATGTAATCTATTTTTCTATTGCTTGATAGATTTAGAATATAAGTATCGTTTTATTAATACTAATAATTTATCAAAGTTTTTTATTATGTGCCAGATTATAGCTTTTTTGATTTAGAACATTCATTAAAGAATTTAATTGTAATGCATTGTGGTGTGGTTGGATAGCATTTTGTCAAGAACGACGATATTGGACTCAATGGTCCAACCTGTATGTCTAAAATTAAGAAATATATGGCTAAGCACAATAATCGTGATCATTTTTAAGATTCTTTGATATAATTTCTATTTTCTCTGAAGCCTCAATACCATTTTTCTGTCTTTTAATTCTATCGTTTATACTTCTACGTCTCTGTGCATATTTTCGAGCATTATTTTCCGCACATAACCTCATTTTTCTCACTGCCTTTACAACACGTCTAAGACGTTGCTCGTTATGACAATTAGTAACAAAGTATTTGACATCTCTTATTAACTGCCTTTTAAGATTCGTCTTTCTATAATTTCTTCTACTTGTGACTGTTTCTGAGGATGATGCGCTACCCTCATTTCCAGACTCCATTTGTTGCTCTTCTCTAAGTGAGTCTTCATGAGTAGATTTTATATTGTGTAAATCTTTTCTGGTGAGGAGATTGATTCTACGTAATTTATCTGTATTCGCCTTCCCTCTAAACTCATCTAGAACTCTAAAATATTAATAGGAAAACATTAATATGTCACATTTTTGTGTTTCACAGGGTTTCTCTTTTATGAGTAGATATACAAAGTATAAAAATATATCAATGAAGTATGTACCTAGACATAGGAACACCACTATGAAGTTTTTGTGCTATAAGGGTTTGATCTTTTTTGGAAATTTTCAAATGTTTTAGTTCAATATCATGTCCGTAATGTGTTTTGTAATGCTCCATAAAAACTGTAGAATCGGCATGATGTTTGGTTAGTTTAATCCTACTCGTACATGCGGCATTAATTTTTTTGCTTCCTTGAGCTTTTTCCTTTCTTAATCCTAATTTACAATATGACTTTCTCACCTTGCCTAAAATATTCAAGATATGCATTTTCAATGCCAATGTATAATATAAATGATAAAATGATGATAAAATACTTACCAGACCGAGCACAATCATAGTATCTTGTTTCCCAATCTCCAATAACCTGTTTTCCTCGACTTAGCCGATAATTCACATTATTCGAACTCTCATATTCATCAAGATAAGTCTGAAACTCTAAGTTATAAATTTAATCATAGTGTGTATTATTACAGTAACGTATATGACGCATTTACCTTCAATCGAAGAAAATTCTCTTGTCTCAATTGCTATAGTTACACAATGCTGTTCCTGGAGATGCTCTAAAAGATTTTTATAGGTAGAAAACGATACGTCGCAGCCTTCAAGACATTGAAAAAGTTTGAATTGTTTATCATACATAATTTCTATTTTATGTACGGATTTTATGTGTCTAATTAAGTTGCTTCTTGTTGAAAACAACCTGGAGCACACCTCGCACCCAATATTCTCTTCCATTTTATAAAAACACACTATTGTTTTCTATTTGAAATATTGAAATAGATTTTAAATGCAGAAGCACGCCAGGTGATCAGGTGAAATTTAATTTTGTTTTGACAAGCGGCGCGAAAAAAGAAGTAGAAAATCAGGGTTGGATAAAATTTAAATAGAAATAACCATAGAGGGCATTCCACGAAACCATAGAGGAGAGCTTTCAATAGATTTCTCTATATCTTTGGTTTTTACTTTACCAGTATGTCATATGTCATTCGTTTGTCAAAAAAGACAACTAAACAAAGTTGAAGACAGCCATTTTGTACAACTTTTTCGATTGTTTTTCAACTTTTTACGTGTTCCAACTAATTTGTCGCTTTTGGAGTTACTCGGATATTTTTAAATTTACTTTGGTGTATGGTGTGTATTACAGTTGTTGAGGAATTTGTATAGTGTATGAATTACGTTTTATTTTCTTATTTTAGCAACATGGCGGAAGAGCTCGACGTCGAGGCGATGTTAGAGGCCCCCTACAAGAAGGCGGTATGTAAAATATCTACTTTCATTAATCGAGAATCTGTCCTTTATTTATTGTTTTTGAGAAAGTGTTTTTGGCGAAAGAGTTACTATCATTAGTAATGTTTAATAATAAGTTATTTGACGTAATATTTGACTTTTTCGCCATTTACACGATAAAAAAGTTTTATTATTAAAATTCGTTGGCTGTTCTACATCACAACCTCATTTTGTATTTTAGACTTGTGAGGTATTCGTAATATATGGGCTATCGGCTCCTTCCCTTAAATCAGGTACAGACACACCTTAGCTTTAAGTTTATATTATTATTAGGTAAAATTACATATTTTTTTGTTATAAAAGAAATTTCTCTCTTTAAAAGCCTTGTCTCTAATTTTTACATTTAATATGAAATTGTTCGCTTATGGGTGCTTTCTCGTCATAGGGTTACAAGCAGATTATGGACGTCGGCATTGCATCATGTCAAGCACATATCCAAAAACCCAATCGCCCGATTGGTCTTATCCATGGTGGACTTAGGAGTGTAATTAAAGTACCAATTTTAGACACGAAACAGAATTTGAGAATTGTTATTTGTGAGGGAGTCATATGTTAATGCATAACTTAGCAAAATGAGACAAAAATTATTCTGTATAATTTTATATAAGTTTTTATTTTTCTGATATCATTTTTCTAACTATGCATTAATACACTCGTACACATCGATAACATTTCTTAATTAAAGGGTTTGGCAAACAGTTTGGAAGTTTATTGCATAAATTTCGAAGAAAGATTTACAGTATAATTATGTAGAAAAGTTTATTAATAAGAAGAAAATAGAAAAAAATGAACTGGTACACCTGGTATCAGAATGATTTTATTTTCTTATTAGTAAATTTATTACTATGGGTATTTATTTCTCAAATTATTTTTATTTACTTTAATATTATTTAAAAAAAGTTTCCCGTTTCATTACACAACTTGTGTAAATCGTTTGTCAAGTGACAAAATGTTACTTCAAGATTAAAAGAGCAAATTATACTTTTTGAAAAATATATACCAGATCTTTTATATTTAAAAAAGTTCTATTATATTTATAAATAGAAATAAAGAACCTGCATTTATGAAATTCAGTTGTTATCACATTATACTCTATATGAATTATGACTTAAATTACATATCAGTAACACCCCATAAAATTCAAAGATTTTATTGATATTTTCTTATACTTTCTTACCACTTTTGATAGGAATAGAATACATTTGAGGTGTAAAGTTGCAAAACCCGTCTTATCCCAAAAATGTTTCGAGATAATATGCAAACACTGTTTTAGCAAATGTTTGAAGCGTTATTTTACAAAAAAGACGTGTCCATTGAGTGAACTACTCTAAACTAGAAATAAAAATTAATATTTAATTTTTAAAGAGAAAAAACGAAAATAATTGGTATAAATCGTGTTTTGTTGCAGTATGATGCTTATTAGTTTTGGTAAAAACTTGAATTTTTGATATAAGAAAGATCTAAAAACGAAGTTTGAAAGATTTTTGGTTTGGTTTGTAATGTTTTTTTTAAATTCGCTCCCGAGAAGTGGTGAAATAAATAAATCAAATTATTTTTTCGAAATTTTGGAGAAACGGTAAGAACTAGAAAAAAAAAGTTCAAATAAAAGTTGTATAGCGTCCAATTTTACATAAAAATGGCCTCTATACTTTTTTGCTTAAATCAAAATTAACGGAGATAGGGTGGCTATACTGGGTTGTTCACCACATACGACACGGAGTATTGTAGCTAAACGATTAGATTTTTACAAATTGTAAGTTTTGGGTTCGTTGAAGGCCTACAATTTAAAAATATTTTTACAAGATGCAGAGTGTCCCAAATAAATAAAAAATATCAAAGTTGTATTTTATTAAATGGAACACCCTGTATATTATTACATTTTTAGTTTCTATGATTAATATAAAGGTAAATTTGATTAAGGTTTATCACCCTTAAACCTGACCGTTTTTGAAATATTTTCAATTTTGTGAAATTGTAGTAAAAATTTTAAGGCTTTATTTCTCCAAGGGTATCAAAGTTATTAATACTAAATATTTACTGAAGTTTAATTATTGATCAGTTATTATGTTGCAATAATAAAAATAATACTACCTCATACAGAGTGTCTAAAAATTAATTTTAAATAATTTCTAGCTTTAAACGGCAATAACTTGTTTAATTTAAATGGAACACCCTGTATATTTGAGGAGAATCAGATGCACAATTTAATTGTCCATCAAATTGTATTATACCATTTTTACCTATCTCTTCAAGTTTTCGTAGAAAATGCTTTTTCTTATAATTTAGACCTCATTTATCAATATACCTATGGAATATTGACATTTTAGATTGTTTTTAAAGCAACAAATGTACAGGTGCTAAAAACGATAATACCGTATGATCGAAAAAAAAACGGAGTCCAGTTGGCTATGAAATGAAGATCGCTGTCATTTTATATGGAAAATGTCATCAATGTTCATTTCCAAGCCAACTGGTTTTTTTTCGATCATACGGTATTACCAGCCTATTTGTATACAAAAATAAAACTATTTAAATATTTATAAAATACCATAATAAGTACCATAATTAAATATACCACCATTATTTCCGCCCAAATACTAAATAATTACATATTTAACCTGTGTTAGTTAATAAATTATTCTAAATAAATGTGGATTTGGAATCAGAAATCAATATAATAATAAGTTATGAAAATGAACGTCTCTGTTGTTATAAAAAGCATCCCTCAAAAAACGAAATAAAATTTTCAAGGTGTTATTTTTTACCACACTGTTTAATATACATACAAAATTAAGTTTTTTAGTATTTGAAGCAATTATTATTAATCAACGCAAACAGTCAATTAATGTAGTTTGAATACTGGAATCATATTAATTGATCCTCTTTTACAAATACTGAAACAATTTTTTTTATTTTTTAATGACATTAACGAACTATATCGACAATATTAATATCTGTAATCTGTAAAAATTTGTTAGATCTTTAAAAATAATCAAAAATGTCAATATTCCGTCGGTATATTGATAACTGTGGTCTAAATTATGAGAAAATGCATTTTCTACGGAAACCTGAAGACATAGGTAAAAAATGATATAATACAATTTGATAGACAATTAAATTCTGAATCTGATTCCCATATACAGGGTGTTCCATTTAAATTATAGAAGTTATTGCCGTTTATAGCTAGTTATTATTTAAAATAAGTTTTTAGACACTCTGTATAAGGTTGTATAATTTTTATTATTGCAACATAATTTAGTAAATGCAAATACTTCAGTACAATATTTGGTTTTATAAACTTAAATACGCCTGGAGCCTGGAGAAATAAAGCCTTAAAATTATTACTGTATTTTGACAAAAACCTAAATATTTCAAAAACGGTAAGATTAAAATGCGGTAAACCTTAATCAAATTTACCTTTATTTTAATCGTAGAAACTAAAAATGTAATAATATACAGGGTGTTCCGTTTATAAAAAATACAACTTTGAAATTTTTTATTTATTTGGGCCACTCTGTATCTTGTAAAAATATTTTTAAATTGTAGCTCTAATAGTCCTTCAACGAACTCAAGACTTACAATTTGCAAAAATCTAAGAGTTTAGCTACAATACTCCGCGTCGTATGTGGTGAACAACCCTGTATAGAAGCTAGGGAATGATAGTAGAAATTAAAAAAAATATAAGTTGATGAAAAATTGCGAAAAAGGGCGTAATTGCGTGGTTGTTGGGTGCAATAACATTCAATACAACTCTCCCATAACATCATTTTATTGCTTCCCCTTCTTTCTCACACTGATATGATCAAAAGCAAAAATGGAATCAGGCAGTTCGAAGAAACAAAGTACCCATTACATAATCAAAAAACTTAAATTTTTTATGAACATTTAAGATTATAATTTTGAACAAAAAGTTTCGTTTTAGCCCAAATAGCCCTAGTCTCCAATAGTCCCCACTAGCAAAACTGGTGCGTAAAAATATGCTCGTTACCATAGTTGAACTCATCTAAAAAGTTTTATTAGCTTGAACAATAAACTATAATACAAGTTAGACCTCTGTGAAGATATCATAATACTTATCTTTTTATTTTTTTAGAATTTTTACAATTTTTTGTGTACTCGCTATTTAAACTCGTGTCATTGTATAGTCGGTAGTGTTACGGTACTCTCCAATGGCAGCACCACGGAGGAGAATGTACCAAGCCTATAATAGTTAACCCATCTATAGGATGGCGGTATTACATTTTTTTGTTTAAAGTACCTATTTGTAAAATAGTGACTGATTTTCAGGTACATAAATTCCTATACTTACAATGTAAATATACTAGATTTAAGTACAATAATTTATATTATCTGACCAACGGATCTGAAACAGCCAAAGGACCGTGTACACAAAAATCGATATTGCATAGTTCAAAAGTAAAATTGCTCGACATGACGATAATTATTTTTACGTGGTTCTTTTTTGTTAGATGTATATATTTATTTAAATAAATTATTTCTTTCATTCTGCCTATTAAAGTATTCTAAAAACATCAACCTTTTCGGGCAAGCAGACAACGCCGCGGATTCGACCAATCTAATTGATAGAGTTTCTCGCGCGTTTCGTTTCCATGTAGTTGTCATGCGCATAATGTTATTCTATTGGCCAGTGCCAGCCCCAATTTTATGCTCTCCTTAGTAATAGCACAGTTTAAAGAATATAAATATATCAGTTACAGACACTCTAAGGAATTCTATTGTTATTTTGACTTCAAAAGCGGCCCGTGACCCTTCGAGGTGCCAAAAAATTTGTACGTTTACCCGGTGCAGCGGAAGTGCTATTTTATCAGTCAGAACGCTGGCCGTATACGAGGGATCAACTAAAAATACTAAGGAATTTTAATATAGCAAGTAGAAAGTAGTTTTATTGATTAACAGTTTTAGGCGTCTTTAATAATTGATCAATATTTATTAGTATTTAGTATTAAATATACATTAATATTAAAATATTAGATATATTATTCTATCCTAATTCTTTGTAATATGGAATTGTCAATAGGGTAATTATTATTAATAATTATTATGGAAACCCCATATGAAAAATGTATATTAAATAAATATAATAAGTTAATTTTTTTACCCGGAAAGCCCAAATTTTATTGTAAGGTAATAAAAGTACCTTTGCATACAACTTGTGTTGCCATTGTCAATTTTTTGGAATTTTTTCCAAATTTTATCATTATCATGAACAGTAATTATGACTGTTAGTAGTTAGTGTAATAAATTTTACTGTTCGATAAAATTTAGTAAAAACTGAAAAAAAAAATTGACTATGGCAAGACAAGTTGTATCCAAGTACTTTTTATTACCTTTTAATGAAAAGGTAGATAATTCAAGTTAAATGCAAACAGCTAAAAAGCAAAACATGCTATAACTTAAGAAATATGCAAATATAATTTATTACAATATTTATTACTAATTGAAGAGCACACGGGAAAAATAATGAGAGTACCAAAAAGCTACACCTTTTGGTACCTAAATAAACGGGAATATCGATAACGGCCACATAGAAACAGGCATTTAAAAATGGGAAAAACGATATAAACTCGAACAAAAGTCCATGCGTAATTTCAATTAAAAAAAAACGGTTTCCTGGACATTTATCATTTCTGGATACTCATCGTTTTTCCCATGTGCTCGTCAATTGTTATATTTACTGTTACATAAAATTTAGTAAAAACTCTAAAAAACATGTCAATAGCAGAAGAAGTTGTATGCACGTATTTTTATTACCTGACTATAAAATTTGGACTTTCCAGGTAGGTAGTTAAAATTAAATACAAACTTCTAAAAAGTAAAACATGCTATTTAAAAAAATGCAAATATCTTAAATAATAATTTAATATGCACTTTGCAAACCGGTAAATACTGCAAAATCCAAAACCTAATAGTAAAGTATCTACTACTCTAAAATATCTACTAAAATAATAAACTAATTGTTAAAAATAAATATTTTGTGCATATTTCGAGTAAAATCTTTTCTTAATCTATATGTATATTTTTAAAGCCATTTTTTCATAGTTTGGTTTCCATAATTATAATATACTTAATATGTCTAATACTTTAATTATTATATACTTAATATCCTGTACTATATAAAGACATACCTTCCTTCATCTTTTGGGCACCTAAAGAACGATATATTGTCTGTCATTCTACTTTCACAACCATCCACTGCACAAATATTTCTAGTAGACATTTTATTCACAATTCGAACAAAACAACTAAAACACTATTTTTGGTTCACCCTATGCGTCGCACAGTGTGAAATTTACGGGTTGTAGCTGGAAAAAAATATTTCAGCGACTCTTTTAATGAAATATTAGTCTTTTTCTTTTTTATATAAGAAATTTTATCAAGGCAAGGTAGACCATGCACCAAAATAATCGTAGTAGGGCATATACAGGGTCTCTCATAATGTTTGGTACATATATGGGAAACTTTTTTAGTATATTATCAGTGATTCATAAAATGTTATTTTTAATAAAAAATTTTGTTGATTAGAGAATAGTTTTGAGGTTAGTAACTACGGAGTTTAATATACGGAGTGTCTAAAATTCTACAAAATGTGGCGTTGCCGAACCAAAATACATAATCTATAAGAAAGGCAAATAAGAAAGTACTATATACAAACAAAATACACTATAAAATGTTTGTGCGTCAAACCGATTTGAAAAAACTATCTAAATCGGAGAAAATCATACAATCGAAGAAAATAAAATAATCAATTGTTGATTTCTCGACGAACCTTACCGAACAAAGAGACTCTATTTGAGGTTTTTCTTTCATTTTGGTACTCTTGCTAATACAGATAATCGAAAATCTCCCCTTAACCAATCAGAATTTTTAGATAAGAAGATATGTTTATGCCTATTTGCCTTTTTCCATTTGTTCTCAATTTTCTGACAAAACGCCCTGGCCGAAACTCTTATACTTTCTTTGACAGCTCTTGAAAGATTACTAGAATCAAAGCGTTGCAATATAAAATTCACCACAGCGCTTCGCCGCTTCTTTGGAGTGTTAGAAGTACAAACCTCATATACATTCTGACGAGTGAAGTGCGCAGCCATCTTAAAAAATATATATGTATAGCAAAAGCGCACCTAAACGCAGCTAATTTTTTTTATGTCGAATGTTATAATAAGTAGCCTTTCAGGAAATGACAAAGTTATCATGGTATTATGTGGTATTATGTAACAAAAACATATTTAAAATAGTTAAATTACAATTTTTCATAGGTAACTGCAGGTACTTCTTTAACATTTCTTTTCAGTCAAACTATATAGCAGAAATATTTTTAAAAAATGATAGCTTACCATGTAGGCCTAATATAAAAATAATATCAATGTAGTTATTCCGTGAAAGTAAACACTTCTCACTAAAACGCCTGCAAAATTTGACTAAACGGGCTAGATATTTTAGATGATTTTATCGTTTTGTCCGAAAGATAAAGTAATAAGCATTTTTAAATAATAAGCTTGATTTTAAAAATAAACATATGTTTTTTTATTGATGAATGGACATTCCTTGAATAAATTTTACAATAACTTAGGACCTGGGATAAAGTTGGCAAATCGAATTAATTCCACCTAGAACGTCAAAATTTCAGACTGTGCGTCGGACCGAAAACAAAACTAAAATAAACTTGGAACGCTGTGTACACGTCGAGCAACGGATGTAGACTGACCCAAGTCTACAAGACAGGCGGGGAGCGGCGGGAGGAATTTTGATACGGGCGAAGAGTGGGTCAACTCATATATATATATATATATATATATATATATATATATATAGATATATATATATATATATATATATATATATATATATATATATATATATATATTTTAAACTGTGGTAATAGTGGAAATATTGACTGAGTTGCCACAAGCTACACAAGTGTGTACTTTGCTTCAATTTGCTTCAATGATATCACAGCTACACCACAATCGCTGAGCTACATATTTTGAAAATTTACATATTTTGTATAAAAAATAACAGAACAGTAAATCAGCTATCAAAAGCTGTTTTTTTTTTGCTTTTAAGTGATCTAAGTTTGTATATCAAAAGAGGCCGCAAGTGTACTTTAAATTTTGAACTGACAAATATCATTTTCGCTCATCAGTGTTCAGATGTTCAGTAAAATATCAGAGTATGAACTGTCTCATGAGTCAACGACCAATAGACAATAGCCAGAAAACGGTAAATAGACAGGATTGCTTAATCCCTTATATAATACATAATACGTTCGTTCGCCAAATTTCACTGCTCAATTACGTCACTGTAGATCACAGTCTCACTTCACCTTGTTTACATACGTGAGTATTGTTCAATTCCTATTTCACTTCCTCCCATGTCAGCAAGGACTGCAGTTTCTATGGACAAATTTGGCCGATTAAACAGTCCTGAATAGTTTACAGTTTTTAAACAGAATTAACCGGCCGAATTTGTCCATAAAATCGTTACTGCAATCCTTGCTGGCATGAGAAAAATTAAATGGCAAATTAATATATTGATGTATACAAACGAGTGGAAGTGAGACTCGTAATCATGATTTAAAAGTTGACAAACGTACGTCTTATTGGATAGTTTACAGTTATTGGTCGTGGATGGCTACACAGTTACTGTCCTCCATTCACGCAGTTGTGCAGCTCTTAACTGTTCAAGAACGCGATACTCTCCTTCCATTCAATTGAGTCTTTATGAGAGCTTGAGAACTATTCCTTTCCCCTCGAGCACCTTCCTATAAATTAGTGCACTAGCTCCTTTCAGAACCGTTCTCGACTAGACCAGGGCTCAAGGCTCTGGAACTTGAGATTCGCGAATGGAGGACAGCAAATGCTAGGCATTTTTATGGTCGAAGTTCTGCACAATCAAAAATGTTCTTGTGGCAACTCTGAATATGGACCAGTATCGAAATATTGCAGCCAAAGAGAACTGCGTTCCTCTGATCATTGTTTCAGATCCGCTGGTCAAACTATATATGTAATAATTTCTAAACAATGCCAAACCCTGTTTTAAAAAAAACAAAAACCGCTTCGATTATATTGAGGTTATGTGGTCTTACTCGGTCTATTTTTTCAGAATAATTGATAACTGGATCAAGTATAGGCAGCAACGTTCAAATTAAAGCGTCAACAGGACGGTAAGTCTAGTCGCTGCTAGACGCTGCAACGATATCGTACTTCCCAGGGATGATATAATCGTCTATACGGTGGATTTTTATTATTTTTCTACACTATACCTACCACTAATTTCTTTTTTAATTGTTGTAATACATAAATTTTTCTACACGGATTAACAAACTGTGTAGACGAATTTATATAATAGGTATCGATTGTTTCATGTAAAAATATTTAAGATTAACAACTATGTTGCCCTGTTTCATCTAGAATCATCCAGTTTGTTCTTTATAGAATTCTACTAATGCATTTTTGTTTTTTCACCCGTTCTGCGTGGTCTTCTTGCTGTTCATAGGAGGAGGTGAATGGAAAGTCGAGGGAGAATGGCACCGTCAAGCACAGATCTTCAGAGTAAGTATTTATTTATTTGTCTATTTCAACGAGTTATTTAAAAAAAACGGCAAATGAAAACTAAACTAATTTTATGCATTCAATGTTTTTTATAATTTCATTACAGGCTATAGGTAAAAAATTAATTTTGTATATTTAAAGCCGTTTTTTTTCACTTTAAAGGTTTCTTCCTTTCTATTTTCTTTAAATTCGTAAATTATGATTGAAGTATTTGAAATAAATGTAAACTCAAAAAAGGCTTACAATATACAAAACTAATTTTTTACGTCTGGACATGTAAAAAATGTAGGAAATTAGATGGTGTAGATAATGCGGTAGAACTTAACCCTGTCTATGGTTTTTTTGCCACTGTAGGAAAATCTACAAAATAAAATAGTTATTTTATGTAAACACTGCTGGCCTTAATCCAACAGAGACTAGTTGTCAGTAGTTAGTTTGCTTAACAAATTTGCCTAACGTACAAAAAAATACTTATTGTTTTGGGAAATATATCTCTTCTAGGAAAGCACTGTTCATTAAAATGTTGTATCCTATATAATAGGACTTGTTTCTTTCTACAATTTCCTGTCTCACAATGTACCGTTTGTGTTCAGGAAGGTTTCATAGTTTCATAGTTGTCGATTTTCGAAAGAAATCAGTACATGTATATTATTTCGTATATTCACTTTATTGATTTTATGGAATGCACTGTTCATTAAATTGTTGTATCCTATATTATAGGGCTTGTTTCTCTCTACAATTTCCTGTCATCCTGTCAGGGTTCATAGTTTCATAGTTGTCGATTTTCGAAAGAAATCAGTACATGTATATTATTTCTTTTATTTTTCATTTTATTGAGTTTATGGAATGCACTGTTCATTAAAATGTTGTAGCCTATATAATAGGGCTTGTTTCTTTCTACAATTTTCTGTCTCACAATGTACCGTTTGTGTAGGGGAATCTCGGAATAATTTCGAAATAAAATTATAATTTTCTTTAAATAATATAAAATAATATTATTTAAAGAAAATAAGGTATATTATATTTTCAGTTTTTCTTAAAATTTCAGAAGACTACTTTTTATATTAGATACTTACGATTAGGGATAGATTTTTTCCGATATAGGTATCGATTTATATGTGAATTGCGATAACTTATCGATATGTAAAATCCATTATCGCCCATCCCTAATATAAATCCTAGTTTTTAAGGGTGAAAGTGAGCAGTGAAATGGGAAGTTAATAAATAAAATAATTAGTGTATATGAAAATACGTTTAAAATCGAGAACCTTCTCGACATCTTTTTACTTTTAGTTACCTACCTATAAAATAGTTGAAAGAGGTATAAGTTAAGAAATATTTTTTCACGCAAATTTGGTTTCTGTAGCAAGAGGAGGAGCGGTACCCGTAGTCCGGCCCGATCCAAAAGGAGTAGAAGCCGCTCGAAGGACCGGAAGAAATCCGGCAGGGATGACAGACGGAGGAGTCGCAGCAGAGAACGGAGGCGGTCCCGCGATCGTCGCAGGACGAAATCCAGAGACAGGAAACCGTCTCGGTCCAGAGATAGAACGTCAAGGTCCAAGGATAGGCGGTCGAGGTCCAGGGACAGGGACCGTAGGCGGTCTAGGTCGAGGAACAGGACAAAATCCAGGGAGAGAAGGGATAGGTAAGATCGAGAGTCTGTTAATTACTTTGAATCAAAAGATTAAGGAAGGAGCATATCAAAAATGTTAGATCGACCGTGACGGGACTCTAAAATGGCCGACTTAAATTCCGGTCTATCAGTGCCGTTCTAATTTTATTCAAAACGTGTAAAAATATGATTTAGGGTAGACTCAATAATTTGTTGTTTTATTATACGTTGTCAATAAATGTTGGTAGATATTAAAATGGTTATAAAAATATACCATTCTAATAAACATAGATAAGTCACAATAATTATTTATTAACACAAACATCCGATACGCTACTGAAGCAGGTAAGTCAAATTGACGAATCTAAATTCTTTGACATCTAATCTTGACACAGCAAAAATGCAAGAAAAAAATATATACTCAGTTAATTTTAAGTGAATTTTATAAACGATCTTAGGCTGTCCTTACTATTTTTCTTCTCGCGTGTCGTATCAATTTGTCACGGCCAGGGTTGGGTAACGACGCGTAGAAAATTAATTTTCTACGTTAAGTAGAAAATATATAAAATCCTTGATAAAATCTGAGAACAGGTACAAAATTAATTTTGTATATTTAAAGCCGTTTTTTTCACTTTAAAGGTTTCTACCTTTCTATTTTCTTTAAATTCTATAAGTGTTAAAACTCTAATATGTGTGCGCGCGCTATCTCACTATTCTCTGATGGTACTAACTCCCTGAAGATAAGATACAGTAATTGATCTAAAGACTAATAGAATATTTTTTTCTGTTTAATCTGAAGACAGTACAGGAAAGTCTGATTTTTTTCTTTGAAAGATTTCGTTGTTGCTTTTTTTTAAATTTTACCATAGAAAGCCTGTGGTTTCATAAACTATATACATATACTAATAATTATTATAGTTTGTAGTTGTTACTTTCATTGTGTTAAACGTTATTTTTTTTTGTTCTGTTTGAATCTTCAAGTTCACAGGATATCTTTCTGTAATAATTGGTGTTAATTTTTGACAAGTTTTATGTCAATTTTTAATAAATGACATCTAGAGATTGACCTCGCCAAAATTACCATCCATTGTCATTCCTTAACCGTCTTTGACAGCTTTTTTTTTCTCGATTATACGGTTAATATTGATAGTCTAGCCATATTTTTCTATGCTTTAAATGACGTACAGTAAATGAAAATCACTGGGTCCCTGCAGTGGGAAAATCACTAGGACCCCGCAGCGGAAAATCACTAGGTCCCTGCAGTGGGAAAATCACCAGGTTCCTACAATAGGAAAATTACTAGGTCCCTGCAGTGAGAAAATCGCCAAATCCCTGCAGTAGGAAAATCACTAGGTCTCTGCAGTGGGAAGATCACTAGGCCCTGCAGTGGGAAAATTGCCAGGTGCCTGCAGGGGGAAAATGACTAGGTCCTCGCAGTGGGAAAACCACCGGGTACCCGCAGTGGCAAAATCACTAGGTCCCCACAGTGGGAAAATCACCAGGTCCCTTCAGTGGGAAAATCACTTGGACCCTGCAGTGGGGAAATCACTAGGTCCCTGCAGGGGGAAAATCTCTAGGTCCCCGCAGTGGGAAAATCACCAAGTCTCTGCAGTGGGAAAATCACCAGGTACCCTCTGGGAAAATCATCAGGTCCTCGTAGTAGGAAAATCACTAAGTACCTGCAGTGGGAAAGTCGCTAAGTCCCATTCAGTGTGGAAATCACCAGACGCCTGCAGGGGCAAATAACTAGGTCCGCGTAGTGGGAAAATCACCCGATCCCTGCAGTGGGAAAATCACTAGGATTCTGCAGGGGGAAAATCACTGTCCCTGTAGTGGGAAAATCACCAGGTCCCTGAAGGGGGAAAATCACTAGGTCCCCGCAGTGGGAAAATCACCAGGACCCCGCAGAGGGAAAATCACTAGGTCCCCGCAGTGGGAAAAGCACTAGGAGAATTACCCTCTATAAAACCGTCCCAGATACTTTAAGTTCTCTTTTAGCTAACATAAGCATTATTGTTTACTTGCTTTATTTTCGGTGTATTCCTAGTTTATCAGAGCTCTGTATTGGAGCAGTTAACATCTATTTTATATTGTTAAATTTAATTAATAAATAAGTTTTTTGAAAGTTTTATTCAATTATTAAAAGTTGAATCATGGAAAAGTATGCCAATGGAGATTAATTGTAATAGAAGTAATTCTAAGGGTAAAGTTTATTATAATTATACAGGGTGAGTTTTCTACGATGTTAACTGAGTAATTTTTCGAAAAAAAAAGATAGCTTATGTCGCTGAAAAGCTGAAAAAATGTCACTTTTTATGAACTATATAAACAACAAAAAAAAATGTAACAAATTAGTTGGTGTAGAAAATATAACATTTTGTACCTATCCAACCTTGGTCACGGCCTTGAATTTTTACTCCCAGCGCGCGTAAAAAAGTTTCACTTCAATTCACTACCGAATTACTAGCCAACATTCACTAATTTCCTGTAACATATAGCTTTTACTGTAACATATAGATAGTACATGAAAAGTGTTTTCTGAAAAGTTACAAACACAAAAATTGTCAACTCTTTCAGTGAACACGCCCCCGTAACATTTTAATTTTTCTCTATTAGGGACAGGGTGAGAAGAAGAAGCCGGGAGCCTAAGCGCAGCCGCAGCCGCGACCCGAAGCGCAGCCGCAGCCGCGACAAGAAGAGCCGCAGCAAGGAGCGCAAACCCTCCTCGCCACCTCTCGCCGCCCTGGTGAAACCTCCCTTCGCGCGTCGAGGTACCCGCTCCCCTCTAGGCCTGCGCGGGCAGAGTCCCCTCGAAGAACTGAGTCCGGAGGAGCGCGACGCGAGGACGGTGTTCTGCATGCAGCTGTCGCAGCGCATCCGAGCCCGCGACCTGGAGGAGTTCTTCAGTTCGGTGGGCAAAGTGAGGGACGTGAGGATGATCGTGTGCAACAAGACGAGGAGGTTTAAGGGGATCGCTTACATCGAGTTTAAGGATCCGGAAAGCGTGGCTTTGGTAAGTTTATACCATTTTTTCCATAGCAACTGTTAAAATTGCCTTATATTTATCAAAAATAGTACATAAAATAGTACTTTAACCGCAAGGGTAGATTAAAGCTTGATTTTAATGCAATGGAACGATTTGGTAATAGTATATTAAACAACGACTTTCGATAACGACGTTTTGCACACGAGTTCGACAGTTTGTTGGTCGTCTGTCGAAATCTTACCTGAGAAAAAAAACAGAGTATCCCCATCAAACTTCATGGTTTCTAATCTGTACTTGATTTTTAGGCTTTGGGACTCTCAGGTCAAAGACTATTGGGCGTGCCTATCGTGGTTCAGCATACACAAGCTGAAAAGAATCGTTTAGGTAACGCCATGCCCAATCTTTTACCTAAGGGTATGACTGGACCGATGCGGTTGTATGTCGGATCTCTACACTTTAACATCACAGAAGAAATGTTGCGAGGCATATTCGAACCGTTCGGTAAGATCGACAACATCCAACTGATTATGGATCCAGAAACCGGAAGATCAAAGGGTTACGGATTTATAACAGTAAGTATTAAACAATGCTTTTGTTATTTTTCATTTATTCATGGTTTCAAATACAGGGTGGCCAATTTGAAGCTACAAATTATAATATAATAGGGGGTTTTTAACTGGGTTTTCCTTCTTATAAATTTAATCTATTACTTATGTTGCCATATTATCAAGATATTAAGTTTTTAACTAAATAGGTATTAAAAGAATTCCAAAATTTTTTCAAAAAATTCCAAATATTTTTTTCGCGAAAAAAACAAATATTTTAGACTCACCCTGTATAATATGGAAGTGTAATATGGAATATCACACTCTTTAATTTTTGTTAAATTAACAAAAGGTATACATAGCCACCTAGATTTTTTCAAATAATAAAAATCTACTGACGCAACATCATAAAAATTAAAATATCTAGGAAAATCTTTGTCTGAGGGGTAGGCAACCTTAATAATATTTTGAAGTTAATAATATATGAATTCCTCATTGAACACCGGAATAATATACTGGATGTTCCATTTAAAATAAAGGAGTAACTTGCTTTTAAAAGTGACTCATGTTCCATATTAATTTTCTCTCACCCTGTATAACTTTTCGTGTCAAATTTCAATTTGGTTTAACCTTTGAATAAGAAGACTAAGGAAGGAGCATAATGCTATCCATGTATTCATGCATGGTGGGCGGAAAAGCCACCATAAAAGCTCTCTAGGGTGGGGATCTTGACAGTTCTGTTTGACGATTCATTTGACACATTTGAATTTGATTTGAAATTTTGTGGATTTGTCAGTCTTTACGGAGCTTATTTTATGTTATTTATTATTTATTCTACTACTGATAGTTGTATAAAGGTAGTAAATCTAGATGGAAATTGTGGCAGAACTTAAATTAACAGTGACACTATCGCGATTTATCGAAAAAGACTTTAAAATAGTTGGTTGTGTAGCGTGCGGTAGATATCGGCAAAAATTGAGTGAAATAATGGAACAACTTTTCGCTAGTAAGTGACTATATAATATACATACGTGTAGTAAACCGATCATTTATGAAATTCACTTAAATTAACTAAATCATATATTTTTCTTGCATTTTAGCTTTTATTTATTACTTGTCAAAGATTAGATGTCAAAGAATTTAGATACGTTAATTTGACTTACCTGCTTCAGTAGCGTATCGGATGTTTGTGTTAATAAATACTTATTATAACTTATCTATTTTATTAGAATTATATATTTTATAACAATTTTAATAACTACCAACATTTATTCACAACGTAAAATAAAACAACAAATTATTGAGTCTACCCCACGTCTACCCTACATCATAGTTTTAGATTTTTTAAATAAAATTAGAACGACACTGATAAACCGGAATTTAAGTCGGCCATATTTGAGGCCCATCGCGGTGTACCTAAGATTTTTGATATGCTCCTTCCTTAGTCTTCTTATTCAAAGGGTTTAACATACAATGGTTACTGTAATTAAATATCTGGCTATACAAGGTCAACTAAAATTTAGGTAGCTGTTATCGAAATTTAAAATTTATTTTTCATTTTCACAAAATGTGAAATATGTCAAAAGCCTTAGATTTTAGGTATACGCTTCTTTAATAAAACTCACCTTTATTTTTTTCATAGAATCCGAAAATCAATTAATATATAGGGTGGTCCATTAGAAAAAACACAACTTTGATGCGTAACTTTTTTTGGAGACACCCTATATAATTCTACATATTTTTATAAAATGCTTTCAGTTAATCTACATATGCTGCCAAATTCATTTTGATATGAACTACCGTTCTTCTTGGAGCTTCCGCGGCGTATGAGAGGCGCCACACTTATAAGCTATATTATTGTAAAGTTTCATTAAAATCCATTCAGTAGTTTTTAGGTGAAAGAGTAACAAAGATTCATACATCCATACATACAAACTTTCGCCTTTAGAATATTAGTAAGGATTTTTTTTTCTTCCACAGTACCACAACTGCGACGACGCCAAGAAAGCGCTCGAACAACTGAACGGTTTCGAACTGGCCGGCCGGCCCATGAAGGTGGGCAACGTGACGGAACGCATCGACCTCCAAAGTCAAGGCCCCTCCCTCCTCGACTCGGACGAGCTGGACCGCTCCGGCATCGACTTGGGCGCCACCGGCCGCCTGCAGCTCATGTTCAAGCTGGCGGAGGGCGCGGGCATGCAGGTGCCCCAAGCGGCGGCCAACGCGCTGAGCATGGCCACTGGGCAGCCGGTCGTGCCGCAGGTGCCGACCAACTCGACGCCGCCCATCGCCACGCAGTGTTTTATGCTGAGTAACATGTTCGAGCCGGCGACGTAAGTATAGTTTATCTGAAGTCAGTTGGAATAGATTGGGATCCTAGATCATATATACTTACGTGGATAAGTAAATCACTATGGAAACTGTCGCAAACATATGAACGACTTACATTTATCTTCTTTTTTTGTTGCACACGCGGTGCTTCTACTCTGTCTATCTTTGTCGAGAAGCTAGCGTCCACGCGCCAAATTTTTACATTAATTTGGAATATGCATATATTTGAACAATAAATTGAATGTTTACTGTGACAAAAATTAAATCATAAAAAAAATACATTTAGCCACTCCTTAGGAATGTCATATTTTTAAGAAATCTAACCAGAAAGTATGCATGTGGTTTAATATACATAAAAGAACAACTGAATACTTAACAACCTAACCCATGAAAAGATAATTCGGAGACCTGTATATTAGAACTCCCACACACCAAACACTTAGTCATTTTTACGAGTATTTAGTCAAACGAAAAAAAAAAGAAATATAATTGCACAAACTTAAAGTTAACTTCTGTTAACACTTAACTTAAACTTAACACTGAAGACACTTGCATCCTTGGTTATATAAAAGCGGTCGATAAATGAGTAATTAATACAATTTTTAAAATAAAAAACGCAAAAAACAAGCGTTGTTACACAATGGAAATCATAGACTAATGTCACGTACTAGAGATAGATTGGACACTGATATAAAACAAATGGGTCCGTCATTTAGAGCCACCTGGTGATCCGGAAGAAACTAATGGAGAGTTTTGGCATAACATAATCTTAGCGTTCCGTTACTTAATAACGCTAACTAAAACGGTAACGTTATTCAAGCGCAAAATTATTCCTTGTAAAATATAAAATAATAAATATAGACTTTTTTATTACATTATGTGTTTAATTAGACCATTAGAAGTGTAAAATAATCAAAACAAAATTAAAATTATGAATACATAATACATTTTTAACACCAACAATAGATCACATAGCATCTTTTTTTTTTGATTTAACAACTAAATTATAATATAGTAAAAAATATTATAGACTACTAATTAACTGTTACTAAAATACGATATATTACCAACTATGTACTTACTTATTTATGATTAAATTATTTTTTTTATTTGGTTCATAAATTTATCATTTCTAAAATGTCAAAATGACTTTAATAAAAAAGTTTAGTATCTGACACGAAAATGATGATCGACTGTAAATATCAGAAGGCACAAACTAATAAAAACACAAACTATAAACACAAATCACTGAAATTTCCAATCACAGATCAGGAATATCTGAATTATTTATTTAAATAATGATTTAAAAATAACTTGACGGATCACCAACATTTTGTCAACTAGAACTAGACCATAGACAGCAGTTAACATAGAGACTGTCATGTCATCTTCATATATAAATTAGAAACCTGTACTTTAATATCTTTTGCGCCGTCTGGCGATGCGGAAGAAACTAAATTTGTAGTTCTATAAAATTACCATTGAGTGTCTAGGGCATGATGGAAATAAGATTATGACAATATGTTGACATTGACAAGTTAGTTTCCATAACAATGTATAATTTGTACTTTCTAAACCGTATAAAATTGTGATTATTTTGGAAATACGTGCAACTTTTAATGCGCATGCGCAACGTAAGGTCCTCGAAAAAGACAAACCTATTGAACGTTTCATAAGTGCAATAAAGAAGGTTTGAAAATGGCATGCCGTGATGTCGGAGACATTTTTTAATGCTAAACTTATGGCCATAGATAAAAGAAAATAATCTATTATTAAGATAGATATGAAACTTAATAGTAAAATTTTGGGTTAAAGCGCCCCTCCGTGTTTTTAGTGAAGACTACGTTTAACCCAGCATATCAGAGTAACTTTAATAAAACATAAGAATATATATATTTTACAATTTATTTTTTTATTTATTTTACAGAGTTTCATGTAAATGATCGTAAGTCGACTGGCTGTCTAATGAATAGACCGAGATTTATAAATTTTAAAGCGAACGAAAAAAAATCAAACAACGAATACATACCATATATTTTTCTTTTATCTAAGATACATACTTTATCGTCTTTTGGAAACACGTACATTTTTGCAGTTTTGTTAGTTTCTTTGCAAGATGCAACACAACAAGAAAACACCATTTTTACAGTTAATAAATAATAAAACTATTTCTGACTATGATATTTAAAATTTAGATAGATAGAAAATTAAAAAAACAAACCAGTATTTGCAAACGCGGGCCCAAATTCAATAAAAATCAAAATTTTTCCTGCGAAAATCTGGCTTTTTTCACTAAAAAGGTATTATTTGATTTATCAGCAGTCATTGTCAAGTTGACAATAGGTATACAGGGTGTTTTCGAATTAGTCTAAAAAAGTTATGGTGTGATTCCTCATGTGTTCTTAAAACAATTTTTATATAACCATTAGGTCTAAAGTACTTCCTTTCTGATCTACAGGGTGTTAAAAATTAAAAAAATCGATTTTTTTGCTTAACATAAATGGTACACCACTGCTTTTTAAGAAAATATATTTTTTTCTTGGCTGGCCAACCTTCTTCAACAAAATTGATCTTTTGAGTTTTTCTTGTTCATCAAACGGTTGTCGAGAAAAAAATAAATATACTTATTAAGAGCCCGCCTTAATTCGTTTTCTAACGATTTTATATTTTTTAAATTAATTAGGAAACACCCTGTATATGCATATCACAGGCAACCAAATAAACTAGTAACCTCTAAAAATTATTTTTCCTACCACTAGCGACATACCGTGTTTTTAGTGTGTACTAAATTATTTTATCAAAATTTCACCATATAAGTTTCCAGGCAATGTTTATGGCGTTGTTTTATCCACGTAAGTATATATGATCTAGGCTTTTGCCTGAAATTCTGATTATGGAGGAACTAAAAATTAGACTTCAACTGACTTTTATTCTTAAACATCTATCAAAAACACAGTAATTCGTAGTAACAATTTAGTTGTACAAAGGTATATTTTTATTAATTTTACTGGTTGCCTATACATGGTATCCCAGCAATAAGTGCAAATATTTTAACTAGTAGTATATTTCGGCCCTTGAAACACGCCTATGAGGTTTTTTGCGAAAAAAAATTGTTGAAAATTTAACATTTTTCTTGAAAACTTTAAAAAACTTTTTAGTGCCTCTTGTTGACCACCTGCGGAGTCAAATAAGCTGAAAACCCTCGTGAAAAACTTTGACCAGATCTGCCACCCCTTAAAATATCTGCACTTATTTCTGGGACACCCTGTATATAAAGTTGATTTTTCAGAATAATTCCCAATATCTTGTTTATAGCATTTTGTATATTGTCGTCGCAGTCCCTTGGCAGATGCTTAAAGTCTTTACTAGTCTTAAAGGACTAAGAGTTATATGATTTTTCCAGTTAACATTCCACAATTTTTTCGTTTTCCTTTACAGAGAGAGCAACCCGACGTGGGACATCGAAATCCGCGACGACGTCATCGAGGAATGCAACAAACACGGCGGCGTACTCCACGTCTACGTGGACCAGGGCTCGCCGCAGGGCAACGTCTACGTCAAATGCCCCTCCATAGCCACGGCAGTGGCGTCCGTGAATTCCTTGCACGGCCGGTGGTTCGCTGGCAGAGTTATCACAGCGGCGTACGTTCCTCTATTGAACTACCATTCGCTATTCCCCGACGCTATGACTACGACACAGCTGTTGCTACCGTCGAGTAAGAAATAAGAAGTGGTGTTTACCCGCATGTGGTAAATATGACGCGATGTATTGTATCAATATTGTACACTTAGCGGGTCGCAAATTGGAGCAACACGCGATATTTTCGCTTTTTGAAAACATACTACAATGTTGCCTCGCACACTGAAGCAACGCAATATTGTCTTTGGACTTGTGCGAGACAACATACTTTGATCTTTAGTTTGGTGTCAATGGGCGATAATATATCGCATATTGCTGGTTGCTCTTATTGTCTGTTGCTCCAGTGTGCGACTCCACTTTCTACCAAGAAGCATGTAGATATATGATTATATTTTTCAGAGTAAGTTCGTTAATTTTTAGGGTATATTGTGTTAGTTCTTTTAAGGTATTTTCATGTATATTTTGTCCACAATGAATGTATCGTTAAAAATTATGTTGTTTTTATTATAACCTTCAAATTAATAAATACATCTCAGTGGCGTGCGTTCCTTTATTAAACTACCATTTTCGCTGTTTCCTAACACTATGACTACGACACAGCTGTTGCTACCGTCAAGTAAGAAATAATAAGAAGTGCTGTTTACCGGCATGTGGTAAATATGACGCGATGTATTGTATCAATGTTGTACACTGAGCGGGTTGCAAATTGGAGCAACACGCGATATCATTGCCTATTGACAACATACTACAATATTGTCTCGCACACTGAAGCAAAGCTATACAGGGTTGTTCACCACATACGACACGGAGTACTGTAGCTAAACGATGAGATTTTTACAAATTGTAAGTTTTGGGTTCGATGAAGGACTATTAGAGGTACAATTTAAAAATAATTTTACAAGATACAGAGTGTCCCAAATAAGTAAAAAATATCAAAGTTGTATATGATAATATTTTTTCAGAGTTAGGTTCGATAATTTTAGGGTATATTGTGTTAGTTCTTTAAGGTATTTTTATTTGTATATTTTATCCACAATAAATGTATCGTTAAAAATTATGTTGTTTTTATTATAACCGTCAAATTAATAAACACATCACATTGCACAACATTTGTTGTCGATAAGTTTCTCGATTATAATTCGGACCACCCTGTATGTTATATCCGACACACTTTTGATGCACCCTGTATACTCCAATAAAATTTTAAATTGTGAAACTTATTATATATAAAATAGCTCTAAAAGGCTCATGGCTTGATGGTTATCTTTCTCCATTTGTTTGTGTCTTTCGCCTTTATTCTCCACCCATCCACTCTTATCCTTCTCAAGTCCTCTTCTACATCCTTTTTCCATCTGATTCTCGGTCTACCCCTCCTTCTCTTTCCACCTATTTCACGTTTCATTATCATACTAGGAATTCTTGCTTCGGCCATTCGTTCAATGCTACTCCCGTTATACTCGGTGCCCGATATAGTCGCTTTACTTCTTCATTTGTTCTTCTGGTCCATATGTTGTCTATCTTCTTTCCTCCAAAAATCTTCCTCAGTATTTTTCTTTCCCAAATCTCTAGCCTCGAACTTTCTGTTGTATTGAACGTCCACGTTTCACATGCATATACAGCACTATTGGTCTTATCATTGTTTGGTACATTCTGATTTTAAACTTCTAGAAATGTTCTTACTTTTAATAATTTTCTGTAATGAGCTGGCACATCTATTTCCTGCCATTATTGTTGCCATAATTTCTTGAGTTACATTTGGATTCCTTAAATACTGCTCCCAGATATGTGAATGTATCTACTTCCTCAAACTTGTATCGTTTACCTCTCTCAGACTTCAATTGTAGACATCTTCCCTTCTCAAAATCTCTATCTGACCACTCCATAAATTTCGTTTTCTTCTCGTTAAACACTAAGCCTACTTTTTGCGCTTGATTTTCTAGTCTTTTGGTCACCGATATCAGCTCTTTCCGATCTCTTGCTAAAATGACCAAATCATCGGCAAAGGCTAAGCATTGGTGTCTTTTTGTATACAGAAGGCCCTCTCTGTTGATTCCCGCGTCTTTTATAATTTTTTCTAATACTACACTAAACAGTACTGGAGAGAGTGGATCCCACTGTCTTAATCCGTCCCTGATTATTAATTTTTCCGTTGCTTTCTTGTTTACTTTGACTTCATTTACTGTCTCTTGGAGTGTCAATTTTATCATCTTGGTCAGTTTCTTGCTAACCCCTAATTCTGTTAATGCTCTAAACACCTCCGTCCTTTTAACTTTGTCACATGCCTGCTGAAAGTCGATAAATAGGAGCATTGTCTGTTTTCCGTATTCATAACTCTCCGCTTGTATTTCTCTAAGGGTAAATATTTGTAATTTTTACCTCCTCCACTAACATTTCTTTTATATATGTTGCCAGTACTTTATACGCTACATTTAGGAGAGCTATACCTCTGTAGCTATACCACTCGCTCTTATCTCCCTTCTTACGTATAGGGCAGATTATTGCTTCTTTCCACTCTTTCGGTATTTCTTCTGTCTCCCATACGTCTTTCAGTAGTTCCTGGATGTGTTCTATCAACTTGGACCTCCATACTTAAATACCTCAGCCGGCATGTGATCATTTCCGGACTTTTGTCATTCTTTAAATTCGATAATTCTTTGTACACTTTCATAATTCGGTGGGAGTACCTCTTTATTCTGATGCTCTATATTTATTTCATCCTTAACGTTCCCAAAAATTTTCCCAAAACAAATTAAATAAAAAAATATACTGTATGGTTGTTTCACCCTGTATATCTCTTAGATTTACTCTACTGTTTTTTTTTCTAAACATGAAACTAATATACATTAATCAACAGATTTATATACACAATATCAACCAGTACGTAATACATATGTACCTATATCTGATTTTCCCAAATTTCTTGGCATCGATCCAGGGCATTCCCCGGCTTTTCCACGCTCCAGGTCGCGAGAAAATCGACGCCTAATATCAGGCGAACATAAAAGCTTTCGGATACTTCCCTCCTCACTTTTTTTGTCTTTTCGGCACGCGTCGCACACGTAAACACCCTCTATAAATATCCCATATTGTTACGGTGCTCCCCATATAAGCGTAAAAATAGATTAAACCTATGTGAATTCTTAATAAAATGAGTGGGACAACGACAGATGGTATACCTATGTCTGGGTGTGTTAGAGAGAGAGGGGGAATCATTAGCAGGCGAGAGGTGTTGATAATTAACAGGCATTTTTTAGTGCCATATGTGTGGCACGTGTCTTCGACTATGAGGACCGGGTGTACGGTAAAAACTGTAAAATTGTAATTAACAGTTATCTTTATGTCGATATATGCTGTTGTGGGTTCATGAATTAGCGATTTATCATTATTATTTATATTTTTTTTTAATAATATTCTTTTACCAAAAAGAAATAACGTATGATCGAACAAAACGGCATCCAGTTGGCTTGGCAATGAGCATCGATGACATTTATAATTTGACATTCATAATTTTACATATAGAATGACAGCGATCTTAATTTCATAGCCATTTCTGACGCCGTTTTTTTTTCATCATATTGTATTATTATAAAATAATTTGGGGGGTAATCTGAGATGAGGGTTGCCACATTGCTCTAAACAATCATTTTTCAAAATGGTCATTATTTACAGATCCACTGTAATTCTGGGCTGCATGCTAGTCCTAGTCCGCTAGTCCGAAAAAGTAGCAAAATAAGCGTTCGGCATTTAACGTTTTATGTAAAGCTGGCTAGGTATTTTTACACAAATGAAGCAGGAAATTAAATAAAGGATTTTACTATATCCATGTTGTAGCACATTTTTAGACAACTCTCTTATTTTTAAGATTTTGATGGCCAAACCAAAACAAAATATTCCTTATGTTGAGATTAAATTTTCTCGAAAATAAAGACATAATTTAAAATTACGTTACGATACGGAAATAGATTGAAATTTTGTGATTACAGTGATATATAATTTATATGGTTTTGTAACAAATTGCACGCTATTTTATGGCAAATGCTGAAGCTCTGCAAACCTTAATAAAGCCTTAATCAAAGCACGTGTGTTTGGAATTTTGGGTGTGGCTTAACATGACAGGATCAGGCTAAACCTTAGGCAGATTTCTGAAATATAATATATATTTCCTTCGGCCCAAAACAACAAATTATTGAGTCTACCCCACGTCTACCCTACATCATAGTTTTACATTTTTTAAATAAAATTAGAACGACACTGATAAACCGGAATTTAAGTCGGCCATATTTGAGGCCCATCGCGGTGTACCTAAGATTTTTGATATGCTCCTTCCTTAGTCTTCTTATTCAAAGGTAAAAATATTCTTATTTTGTTAATAAGTTGACTGATTGCATTTACCCCATGATTGCATTTACCCCACCTTACACTACCTTAAGTAGCTTAATGCTGATTAAAAGTTGTCTCTTGGTATTTTGTCGATTTTGGCCTCCTTGATGAGATAAACGCAATTTTATTAATAACAATAATTAATAAAACTGAAATGAAAATAAAATTAATAAATTATAAATTTTACCTAATTTATTAATAAATATTGTTACTATTAGTCCAACCTACAGCAATTTGAAATAAAAAAAATAATTATTGTATTTAAGATAATTACAAAGAATCTAATTTTAAAAAGTTGTAACATCCTGTAACTCTAAAACTATGAATTTCCATACCCATGTTTATAGGAACTCTTTTTTTTCGTATTTTTTGATGGGGAATCAATGAGTACTTATTTAAAACTTCCGCGGTAAGTTAATGATATTATTTTTTTTTAAATGTTGCTATTAGACTTGAATCAAGGTAAATTAATAAAAAATGCTTCTATCTCATCAACGATGCCGAAATCGACAAAATATCAAGAGACAACTTTTAATCGGCATTAAACTACTTACACTATTTCGCTAACAAGAGAAAAAAAATCAGTGGCGTACATGCTTTTTTTAAAAAAAATTCCAGTAAAAACCCATATGCACGTCCCTGGTGAATATGTCCACACTTTTTTAGCTTTAAAATATGTCGCATTTATAGTAACTTTTACCATCAAAATTTCATTCGAAATTCTAAAAGTGCTTGGAAAAAAATTATAATAAATCGAAAAAATATTAACACTTTAACACCCTGTAGCTACGAAACAAAGTAGAATCGGACTTATGTTGATAAGAAAAATAAATCTTATTTTTACGTGAGGAATTTTCCCACGAGAGATGGCACATGTGTTTTTATATTCGTTACATCACTAGTAAAAGTACCCCTCGTAAAACGTTCTCTTTACTTTACCACTACCCCTCGTATTCCATTCAATCACCGTATCACACAAATACTGTCCCCATTCTAATTACCGACGCTGATTAGGTGGTTTATCCCCCAACCCCCTCAGCGTCTTAATCCTGGCGTCGCACCTCCGCGACGCCCAGCGTCGCCAGGCGTCGCCGTCGGTCAGTCCGACGCCGCGGAAACCGCC